AGGAACTGCTTGAAAGAGTCCAGCAGGGCCACAAAGATGCTGGAGGGAGTGGAGCATCTCCTGCTGAGGAGCAGCTGAGGGAGCTGGGGCTCTTGAGCTTGGAGCAGAGGAGACTGAGGGGTGCCCTCATTCATGGGGATCAATTTGGAAAGGGCAGTGTCAGGAGGAAGGAGCCAGGCTCTGCTCTGGGATGTCCAATGCCAGGACAAGGGGCAATGGGAGCAAACTGGAGCATAGGAGGTGCAACCTGAACAAGGAAAAACTTTTTTACTGTGAGGGTGGCAGAGCACTGAACAGGCTGCCCAGAGAGGTTGTGGAGTCTCCTTCTCTGGAGACACCCAAAGCCCTGGCCGTGTTCCTGTGTGACCTGGTCTGGGTGATCCTGCTCTGGCAGGGGTTGCACTGGGGGAGCTTTGGAGGTCCCTTCCAACTCCTCATATTCTGTGATGCTGTGTTTGGTTTCTGTGTAGCACTGGGTGAAGTTCATCAGTGGGTGCAGGGGTTGCAGGTGGTCCCCAGGGACTGGGATTCGTGGTGTGGTGGTCTCAGGTCTCGAGGAGACGTCCCTGGACCTCCCGACCAAGCACATTGGGTGTGGGGTTTGTCCGTGCCCGAGTGCCTTCCCCACCACCACCGCTCCTTGCAGGTGGGAGGAGATGAAGATCTGGGGAAAAGCAGCTCAGCACCAAGCACTTTTAATGAATGCTGTAAAAATGAAGTTAAGATGTGCTTCTGTTCCTCGCTTCCAGTAAGCGAACAGGTAAGTGTTAGCTCTGAGGACATAGAGTAGATCTTGTGCCTTCTCCTGCGTCGCTCCTTTCTCTTTGGGATAGGTCAAAATGCTCTCCGGCGTAGCACTGCGTGCCTCATTCAGCTCCTGCAGCAGAGAGGACAGGAGAAAAGCTGCTCCCTTGCTGCATCCACAGTGTCACATAACCAAAGAGAATGGTAGCAGAGGGAATATTATCACAGGGAGGAAGTTAGACCAGAAGCAGGCAGTGCCGCTCTCCGGGTTTGCGTGTAAAGGCTGCGCGGGTGCTTTTCTTTCGACAGCTGAGGTAAATGTGCACCTGTGTGTGTATTTTTGACACAACTGTGTCAAGAAGCCAAGAGACAGCAGCTTAGGAGCTGCGATGATGCTGGTTTGGGCTTAATACCAGGATCAGCTGCTGGGTTTAGAGTGAACTCCCAGTGCTGCTGTCTGAGCTTGTAAATTGGTTTAAGTCGCATTGCCGTGGTTTGTTTATCCCTCAGCACAACACCACCTATGTGTAACCCGTGCATTAACGTGTGCTGAGGGTGGCCTTGGAAGGGCTGTGTTGTACCAGTGAGCATGGCAAACCCCCGAAAACCAGAGCTAAGACAAAAAGTGTTTGCTCCTCCTCCGTTCCAGCCCATGCTGCAAGGCCAAGGCACCCCTCACCTTGCCTAGACCCTCTGATCATCCAAAGCAATATTTTCCTTGGTTTGCAGTTACAATTTTTCTCTTTTAATAAGAAACAAAAGTGAGTAGGAAGTCCAATGGGTTGAGCTTGGGATTCCTCAATTCTGCGTTTTATTTTTTGTATTTCCTTCACTGACATAGACAGTGAAAGCAATTGAGTCTCCACACCGTTAAATGCTTGCTGATGGCTACTAAAATTTTGTCTTGAGGCTTGGTCCAGCTCCATTGCAGGCTCTGAAAGCTCATTTCCATCCCTTACTGATGAGGTTCCTGGAGGTGAGCCTGCTTGGGGTTTTTGTGGTAATGGTGTTAGTTCAGCCTTGCAGAACATCACTTGCCCAGGGTGAGCGATGGGTTTTGCTGGGTAAGTAAAGTATCCTCAGTCGTCATCGCAGCAGAGGACGGGCAAATGCTTTTTGTGTCTGACCCAGGAAGTGCTCAAAGTGATTCCTGAGGGCAGGTTAGTTGAGCAATCATGAAATTTTGTTGTTGTGTTTAAATGGCAGCTCAGTTCTCCAAAACCATCATACACGAGTGGCAGATCTGACACATTGGGTGTTCGACACCGCTGCCAAATCTGACACGAAACCGGGATGCACGGAGCTCTGGGTGCGTGGATGTTACCCTGAAGGGCACGACCAGCTTTGCCAGGTTTCCCGTTCCTTTTCAGTGAATAAAGGTGCTTTGTAAGTCGGTTATTCCCAGCACAGCAGAGTATCAGATGGTTTTCTTGATGCCAGCTGCTTCTCAGATGGATTTTTGCCTCCTGGTACACGGAGGCTTAGCCAGAAGGGCTGCAAACGTCAGCGCTGTTACTTGATTTACAGGCTCTGGCTTTATTGCACCGTTGTGTTTCTCACATTTACCCTCATATAAAGACACTGAAATCCTCGTGTCGTTGGAAACCTGGCAGCATCCAAAATGGGATTTCTGTTGAAATGTTTCTCTTCCCATTCGGTCTGGTGATGCACAGAGAAACACGGGGAGCCCCCATCCACCCATTTACCCTTTGCACTTTTATTTGTATGAACTTGTGCCTTTCCCCTTTCTCTGTTATTGTCTCATAACTAAGGCAAGACGGATGTTAAAAGCCAGAGCTGCTTTTCTGCAGCAATGAGGCAGTTTCCCAAGGCTGCCCTGTGGTTCAGTGGCACAAACAAGAGCAAAACCTGAGCATTTCTGACCTCCTCTGCCTGTGGATTTCCTGTCCAAAGATGAAGCACAGAGGTCTGGGTGGCAGCGTGTTAATTATGAACCGTTATCTCTGCAGCGCGGGGTCAGTTATCATCTCAGAAATCTGAATCTGCCACTCGGGACTGAGCAACTCAGCTTTGCCGTGTCTTCTTTTGCATGAGTGTTTCTGAGTCTTAAAATGTTAAAGATGAAAATCAAGCACAAACGGGGACAAATGTGGAACACTCGTGCTTGACTACAGCTCTTCAAAATGTTTCAAGTTAGTTTCTGCCGTCTTTTTAATTGCACAGTTTGCTTCCTTTTATTGGGCTATCTTGGTTTTATGGTAGATTTTACTGATAGGGAGCATTACAAGAAAAGTAATTTCTTTATTATATTTTTCTAGCAGCTTTAGTAGATTTATAAAATATAGAGATGAAAAAGGCCCATTATGGTATCAGGTTTTCTCTGGTTAGTGCAAGATTATTTTCTACATCGTGATTTTTGACAGTTTTCCTGGCCCCGTTTTAAATAAATTCTACAACTTAATTACTTCTGTCCAAGTATCTTCAAACCTCTCATCCCAGAGGGAGCTCTGTAAATTGTCTTGGTGTCTGAGCTTCATTTTTAAAGCCTGAATGCAGAGAACAACATCTAAAAAGTGATGGCTTTGCCCTTGCTGAAGCTGGCGTCCAAACAAGGCTACATCAAATACGAATGTATGGCGAGCCTTTGGCTGCAGTCGTGCAGTACCGCCCTGCATGAGGGTTATTTAGTCTGATTCATAAATCCCCGTACAGCCGTGGTGTGTGGTGCTCATTCAGATCCACTCTGTGTACATAGCCGTGGACGCCGCTGTGCACCTGGGATTCAGTGAAAAACCAGTGGAGCTGAAGGGGCTCCTGCAGCTTGGCTGCTGCTCTGCTCTGCTTCTGCCCTCACCCTCCTGACCCGTTCTGATGAGCCTTATGATCTTCATCACTATCCAGGGTTGTAAGTAGCTGGAATTTATTGGAGTAGCTGTATATTTTGGGGGAAAGAAAGAGAAGAAACTCCTCCTACAGGAATTAGCTTGTGATACCCAAAGGTCTTTGGGTTTACAGTTTGCAGACATCTGTCCTGCTTTTGACCCCGCTAAGATAACCGAGAAGCACTGTGGTGCTTGAATTAGAGATGCAGGGATGCTCCAGCATCATGTATTATCCTACCTCAGGGCTGTGGTTTTGCCATTGGCTGAGTTAAACTTGCACTCCCAGCCTGCCTGCAGAAGGTCAAGCACATGGAAGGCTCCAGGTGAGGAGTGGAGTTTACCTGCTGTAATTTAAGCACTCAGCAGTTAAAACCTGCCCTGGCCATGTATCTTAGGGCACTTTCCAGTGCTCAAGGAGAGAAACAAGGGCAGATTGAGGCCATGGTCCTTGGTTGATGCCTGCCCGTATTCTTTAAGAGCTCGTGATCTCATTGAACTCAAGTGTTAAATGTCAGAGCCAAGACCCAGCATGGGCAGTTTTGACCCAGTCCCACAGAGATGCAGGTAGACCTGTCAGCCAGGCTGTTTTTCTGGAACTTAACATCAGTGGTTTTGCTCACTCAGGAAAAACTAATAGAGCTGCTGGTCCAAGGGAAGGTTGTGAATCCTTGTTCATTTTTTTATTAAGCAAGCAGTTATGTCCATAGGTTGAAAATGTCCAGGTAATATTTAAAGAGCAGGAACGTGCAGTTAATTTATGGTCAGTGTTTGTTTAGTGTCTGCTACTAAAATAGTTGAGTACCTGGTTATGGGGAGCCCATATAGCGGCTTGGCTTTTAGTCCAGTCTCCTAATGGAGCCCATTAGTTTATTTACTGGGAGGCGAAAGCAATACATGGAGCTTGAGCATTTTAAGAGCTTTATAGCATTTCTGGCATTATGGCAGTGTAGAGGGGCCTGGCAGCAGCCGTTGGATGTTACTGCTCCCCCCAGGTGGTACAGGCTCGTATACAGTGTATGAGTTTGTGCATGCAGCTGCGTACTTGTGTTGCTGTATTAATTTGAAGTCCTGGTACTCCACATACCCAGACCAAAAGCTCCTCATGAATCCAGAGACTGTTGGCAAAACCATCACATAAATGAAGTGACTGTTAAAACTCACTGGTTTAACTTTTTGTCCTCAAACTGCACATATGCTTAACGCTCCTAACTGTCTATTCATGTGTACTGAAATGTCATGGGCAAAAAGCGAGTTTGTCATTTTTTCCCATCTTTTGAAACCAGTATTGCTCTGAAAACCTTTGTGAAAAGTAAGCAACAGGCTTGTTTATTCTGTGCCTCCCTTTTTGTTTTGTTTTGTTTTCACACCCTAGTTTTCTTTCTTAAAATTAAGTAAAGAGCCCAAAGCAGAAAGATGGAGCAGAATATCTCGGAGAGAATCATCAGCATCCCGACAGCAGACCGCGATACGTTGAATGCCTTAGACTGGAAAGACGGCATTGGTACCTTGCCTGGTAGCAACATCCAAGTAAGAAACCCAGGAACACAGTCGATACACGAGTGGCCACCGTGCCTTTGGCAGCACAGGATATTTAAATATATTCTGTAGTTTGCCAATGAAAGTTGTGCGGAGAAAATGCGTTGTTTTCAACAACTGGCGTGGCATTACCACGGAAGTGGTGAAATTGCCTGGTGGTGTAGTAAAGCCTGGTGGTGCTCCCTCTCCCCTTCTAATTTCTTGCTCAATTGATTTCTAAAGGCAGGAGGTTTTTAAGTAATTGTTTGCTGCTGATAGAAATTATGGGCCTGATCTTCCTAACTCGCAGGAATGTCCATACAACATATTCAGGAGAGAAATCCCATTGATTTCAGCCCAGCATGAGAAAGACATTTTCTCTGAAAGACAAATTTTCTCAGTTTGTAGGGTTGGGTTCTTTTCACATCAGTGGTTCTTTTTTTTTTTTCCCCAGCTTTTGGCTTCTGTCTGCATGTTACATATTCATGGTAGTGATGAATACAGCGCTCATACAAATCAGACCCAGGTTCTGATGGTCCCAAACATGATGCTCTGTGTTAGAGGAGAGAGGAGAGTGAGTGTCTGGTGGCTGCTTCCCAAATTGTCTTCAACGGTTATTTCAGTTCGATTGCACTTCTGATGGCTGAAAATGAATACATAAAATTGGCTGCAAGTTCTGAATCTCTTCTGAGGGGTAAAAATCAGTTTCAAGTGAAAAGTTTGTGCAGGACG